CCTACCTGGCAGCTGGCCAGCACGACCTCGTGCCCCATTACTATGTGGAGAGCGTCGCGGACTTAATGGAAGGGCTGGAGGACTGAGCCCACCTGACCTGCAACCGCAGCCCCACCTCTTCCCCACCCTGATCCCATAGATGGAGGTGATGGGCCTTGAGCTGCATTAAGTGCTACTGGCTCTCTGGCCCCAGTTTCTACATCCTGGTGGGTCTGGGACCCAGGGAAGGTTTTAGGGCCCTAGCACCCCCTCCCAGCAGTAGCTGGGCACTCTTTGCTGTCACAAAAGCTGGCCCCTTTCCGCCACCAGTTTGCCCTGGCCCCACCCATCCAGGTGGCCTTATTTCCTGCCCTGTGACCTGTGACCCTGTGATTTCAACCCTTGTTGAAATCGGGGCCCTGATGCTCACTGAAGATTTCCCCCAACCCTGAGCACTTAACTCCCTCACCCCTCCCTGGGGCCTCTAGAGCTCTACCTGCTCCCCAGGTCGTGGCCTTGGGGTCCTGTTGACCAATTAGAGGTCTAGGTAACCACAAACCATTATTGTCCTGAGCCCTGAATGGACCAATCAGAAGTCTAAGTCATAGTGATTCATGGATGTTGGGTCCTCCGTAGACCAATTGGGAGCCTAAATAACAATGACCCTTTGATTTCCTGGAGCCTGAATGGACCTATCAAAAAGTTAAATGACAGTGACCCTTTTATGTCCTAGATCCTGGGTAGACGAGTCAGGACAGCAGGTAATAATGACCCACTGATCTCCTAGATCCTGAGAAGAAGAATCCAGTAGCCTTAGAGACAGTGGCTTCTGGACTACCTGGATCTGATTGAACCAACCAGGGGTCCAGATTTTTGTTAATAAGTAAGGGTCCACATGCTAAAGGCACCCCTCCACAAAGACTGCTATCCAGGGGGCCACTCAGCAGCTCTGGGAGCTTCTATAGCTGAGAGCCCCACCCTCCCCTGATCATGATAACCAGTCCAGTGTTGGTGGCCACAGCTCGGAATGGGGGTGTTTGCCTCCCTCCCTGTGCTGTCAGTGTTTGCTGTGCCACTTCTCCCCTGTGCCTGTCCCAGCTATTTATTTATTATCGTGTGCCCGTGATGGTGGGGGTGGGGGCTGGGCCTTCTCTGCCACCTCCACCCCCGTTGTAACCAGTCCTCCCGTACTTAATTAATAAAACGCAAGTGGGAGTGTCTGTGTGGGTTCAAGTCTGTCCAAGGCAGAGCAGGAGGAGGGGTTCCTGGCTGCGACTGGTCTCTCCAGAGCTGGCCCACCGCAACTCCTACATGACGTGACGTGATCCATCCACTTCCAGGGTATTCTCTGTGTGCAATAGTAGTAATTCAGTAGCACATCATCTCCCGCTGAGTCTATGTAACAATTTCTTTCTGCCCCTCAGAAAACCCAGCAAGCTTGTATCACATCTCATTTGACTCCTGTACTTGGGGAATCAGGAGCCATGTAGACTTACACAAGGGCGCACATCTAGAAAGCATGGTCACCTCAGGCTGGACTTGAATTCCTGTCGGCGGACTCCGGGAGACTGCAACCTCCCTCTTAGAGACTGAAGGGGGAGACAGGTCCTCACCCTGTGGGAGCTCAGGTGAGATGCTGTGGCACAGCCCCTTCAGGCATCCTTCACACTTGGGATGCTGCTGTGAATGACTGCCCTGCTGGCCATGAGCAAGCGCCTGAGCTACTGTAGGCCAGACACTCGTTGCTGTCTCCTTAGCGCTTCATGCAGAGCAGGTACTCAGCTGTGAGCAGGCTGCTGAGCAGTCCAGAACGGCTACAAAAGCTGAGTGGGGAGATATGACTGTTGCAGGCCTGCCTGTCAACTGGCTTATTGTCACCTGAGCTTGCATAAGCCCCTTTCTGCTCAGCCTGCTTCCTCATTGGTAAAGTGAGGGGTGGGACTTGGAGGTCTGGGGAATTCTCCAGTATGACTCTTTTTGGGAAGAGGAGGTGCTTTGACAGCCTGGAGGCAGAGCAAATGTGCATTCATGGAGACTTCTGGCTATGACAGAAACACAGCTCACCTGGCTAAGGCATGAGGGAGTTTGTGGCTGCCCCTGTGAGGCGGTCCAGCACTCTCCAGGTGTATCCCTCTTCCGCTGTGCTGCCTCCAAGACAGTGGGTACTTCTCACCTGACCTATATTCCAGGGCAGACTCCTTGGCCTGGCTTTGGTCCCATGCCCATCTCCATCTCGCAGCCTGTGCCCTAGGGGATAGAGCACAACAATTGGCCAGCCTAAGTCATGTGCCCCCCAGAGGAGGGCAGTGCTTGGCCTCCCTGGCCCCAGTCAACCTAGCAGCCACTCCCTATCTTCCTTGCTGACAGAATCCTGATTTCCTTCAGGTGAGCACGTGGTGGCATGTGAGTTAGATGGGCGTGGCATCCCAGTCCCAGGTAGTGAATCTTGATTGTTTAAAGCTTGAGTCTGTCAATCATGGTTTCCTGATGACCCCGGCCAGTGATTAGCCATGGACTTGTGATACATTTCTGACGAATGAGATATGAGAGGTCTGCTGGGAGATTCTGGAAATGTCTGCCTCACTTTTAAAGAATGGAGGAGGGACTCACTCTTCTGGGCTTTGAGTATAGAAGCTGTCACAGGATTCTGTGATCATAAGGTGTGACCCAACGTATTTCTCTGCGACTTGACTCTGCTTCAGGTGGCAAAGCAAAAAGATGGGAAGAACTTGCTGGAGTTGTTTCTCCAAAACTTTTAATTTAGAAAAGTTTCAAACAGACAGAAAATGTGCAAGAATGGCACAATGAACATCCTTCACCTGGATTCCGAATCGTTGTTATTTCAGGAGGCTAGTGACCCCAATCCACAAAATGAAACAACTCCTTCACGCTATACCCCCTGGTTTCAGTAGCTTCCTGGTTTTGCCTTCCCCTCATATTAACTACTTTCTTGGTGACCAGAGGCCTTAGAGCGGCGGTTCTCAACCTTCCTAATGCCGCGACCCCTTAATACAGTTTCTCATGTTGTGGTGACCCCCAACCATAAAATTATTTTCGTTGCTACTCTATAACTGTAATTTTGCTACTGTTATGAATTTTAATGTAAACATCTTTTTGTTTTCCAATGGTCTTAGGCGACCCCTGTGACAGGGTCGTTCGACCCCCAAAAGGGTTGCAACCCACAGGTTGAGAACCGCTGCCTTAGAGGTACTTTCTGTTGTCCCTAAATAATTTTTCCCTTTAGGGATGGATGGCTTTGAGACTAGTGGCCAAAGTTCAGACAGACTCACTGAAATCTGAGCTTGATCTAGCATCAAGGTCTCACCCAGCACTCTTTTGATTTCATTTTAGCTGTTACAGAGAACCATAAACAAGGGGCTATATATTTCTTTTTTTGCATTTCCTTACGCATCAGGTAAACCAGCTCCCCGAGAATTGGCACCATCTCTAAATTCTGTTGATCACTTTTACCTTTAATAACTGAGTACAGCATAGCTGCTGCTGTACACCATGGGTGAATCCGTGGTACCCAGCAATCTGCGGTTCCTCATCCTTGTGCACGCCCTTTCTTCCTTCCCTTCCCAAACCACATGTTTCCATGAGTCAGGGCTGTTCCAGCCAACTAAAAGGGAAAACTGTTTCCTCTACCCACAGAATACTCCTGACACCAAATGTGTGGGTTTTCTACATCAAGNGACTATTAGAATCAAGTATCATGGCACTGGGAGCCCATATTAGCCCAGTTAAGGGCAAATCACTAACTCAGACTGGTGTATGTGTGTGTCCAAGCCAGAGCTTAGAGGCTGGGTGCCAGGATGTGGCTCCTGTGTGTCAGACTGGTCTTCAGAGCCTTCTCAGGTTGGCAGACAACCTCAGGATTGTGACACATCCCTCCCTCCCCAAGCGGGGACCTAGGCAGCCCGGTCACCCCATCACTGCCCGGGTCAACTGGTCACTGCTGCTCTGTCTCCTTCCCTCCCTGGAGTGCTTGGTGACAATGCCTCTAGCCCCAGTGCCTCTCCACCCTAGCTTCACCGTAGAATCCTTGGGTAATTAAAAACAAACCAAAAATGCCAGGTCACACCCAAAACTATTAAATCAGAATCTCGGGTCCTACCACGCATTGGTATTTTTAAAAAGCATTTGTCAAAAGTTATCAAACTTTGCATTTAAGATCTATGTATCTTATTGTATGTAAACTATATCTAAAAATACTAAGTGCTCCAGGGGGACTTTACAGTACAGCCACCAGTGGAGAACCACTGATCTAGGTAGGCCAAGGGCGGCAGCGCTCAAGAAGACACCAAGCGCCTCTCTCCCCATCATACCCACACGCTTCTCAGGACTTCACTCCGCATTGGAGCGTCCATGATTCAGAGGGCAACGAGATTTGACCCAAAGACGACATCTCCTTTAGCATGCTTTTCTCCTAGCAACCAGCTCTCCTAACCTTCTGATTGGCTGGGGACCGCAGGCGCTGCTATTAGCGCCACAGTTTCTACTCGTAACTCCTTATTGGTCATGAAAGAAGCCAGTCGCGATTAAAACTCGGCGGCGACTGGTCCAGCAGAGCCGGGAGGCGGGAAGAAGGACCACACTAGGTTTCATTGGTCCCCTTCCCTCGGTGGCGGCCACGATTCTGCCCTTTTCTTCAAACTCCGTTTGCTCGTGTTCTCGCTCCTCCCCGTGACTCTCGCCCCCATTGCCGTGACCCCGCCCCCATCGCCGTGACCCCGCCCCCTGGCCCTTCCGGGGCGCGGATTGGCAGGTGCTGGGCACCGGCGGGCCGCTAGCCAGCGCGTCGTGCCCGCAGAGGGAGAGCGGCGCGGAGCGGGAGTGCAGGCAGCCAGCCGGCTGCATGGCGCGCTGCGAGCGGCTGCGCGGCGCGGCCCTGCGCGACGTGCTGGGCCGGGCGCAGGGGGTCCTGTTCGACTGCGACGGAGTGCTGTGGAACGGGGAGCGCGCCGTGCCTGGCGCCTCGGAGCTAGTGGAGCGGCTGGCGCGGGCGGGGAAGGCGGCACTGTTCGTGAGCAACAACAGTCGGCGCGCGCGGCCGGAGCTGGCCGTTCGCTTCGCGCGCCTCGGCTTCGGGGGGCTGCGCGCGGAGCAGCTCTTCAGCTCCGCGCTGTGCGCCGCGCGCTTGCTGCGCCAGCGCCTGCCCGGGCTGCCAGACGCGCCGGGCGCCGTATTCGTGCTGGGCGGCGAGGGGCTGCGCGCCGAGCTGCGCGCCGCTGGCCTACGCCTGGCGGGGGACCCCGGCGAGGACCCGGGTGCGACCCCGCGCGTGCGCGCCGTGCTCGTGGGCTACGACGAGCACTTCTCCTTCGCCAAGCTGAGCGAGGCGTGCGCGCACCTGCGCGACCCCGACTGCCTGCTCGTGGCCACCGACCGCGACCCGTGGCACCCGCTCAGCGACGGCAGCCGGACCCCCGGTGAGCACTGGGCTAGCGGGGAAACCGAGATGGGGGCGGGGGACGACCTGCGCTTTCACCTCCATGCATGGGGGTGGGGGAAAAGGTGTCTCCAAGTGACAGGTGGTGGTCACAGAAGGTTGCGAGAGCGGCCGCCACCCAGTAAGAACCCAGGGTTCTTTCGTGACCACGTCTTGTAATTCTTGCAGCCGCCAGCCACACTGTGAGTGGCAGCACTGGGGTCCCTGTTTGACAGATGAGGAAACGGAGGCCCACTGTGGCTCTCGGGATTGCAAGTGGAATCCAGGTCCGCGGATTCCCAGCCCTAACCTTCCTGAACCGGCCTCAAGGACTCAGTCATTTTCCAGCGGCAGGTTGTAGGCAGGTGTGCGGGAGTACAGGAGGTGGTTGGATTTTGACCTGAGTTACAGTTCCAACTCCGGGGCTCTGTAATCTGG